AAATATATTAGATACTTTAAGACCTTTACTCAAGTAATATTCTTAGAGGAGAGTTGAACTTTTTAAACTCAAGTATCACTTTGAGGTACTTTATCCAACAGTGTGAAAGAGAAGCTGGTAAAGTTAGAATAAGGAGGAATTCAAAGTGTTCCACTTTAGAAAGACCCAACTGAAGGATTTAAATGTGAAAATGAAGGATTTTAAAGCACCAGATGTCTACTTTAAGATCGCTTCATGGTGTCATTTTGTTTGCACCCTTGTCCTACAGCAGGGGCGGAGCTTCTGGGGGGGCTGGGGGGGCGTCACGCCCCCCGGCCCAGCTCTGATTTGTTCCACTCGTGTCCTACAGTAAACTGGAATCATCTGAATGTTTCCTGTACTTTTCTTTGTCATCCTGGGATTCTAGTTTTCATCCTGCTGCAGTCTGTTACAGAGATGATCCCTCAGATTACGGACTTCGCTCCGGACCTTCGACACATTCAGCACAAAGAAAGTTAGCGTCACACACTGTAGTTTATTCACACAACCCAGCACTGCATGAACACAACATGAAACGAACAGAAACAGCATGATGAAATTTACATTCAGCAATCTGAAACTTCTGCACCTCCACTCAAACTTCATCTCTTCCTAAGCTTTTATTTTGGAGGGTCTCATTATTTACATCCAGGTTTGTTTGTTTTTTTTTTTTTTTACAAAATAAATAAATTAAAAAAACATGCGTCTGAGATGATCAGCATCTGTAAACAGAGTAAATACTGACAACATGCAGGATCAACTCAGTCCATGAGAAATACGATGATTTTGACTTCCTGTTGATGAGCCTGACGAGCTGCTGCAGACTCTGTTCGCCTCACAGCCAGAAAGCTTCGTACAAAAACTGGAGAAAATTCAACCACTGATACGGTTCAAGTAAAAAATAAATAAATAAACACTTTACACCAGAGAGATCCGATCACGTGGCACAGCAACACACTAAATAAATAAACAAACAAAAACACAACGACCCCCTGAAGCAGCGTCATCGCATCGTTTCTGACCAATCAGATGTAAATACAGCGTCAGCCAATCAGAACACTCACATTTGACTTTTCTCCCGCTGCCATTGGCTAAAAGATCTCGGGGGTTTAGGCAAGCGAATGTACAGCCGGTGGGTTCTGGGTGATGGGAGCGGCTCACTCCGGCGCCGAGTTGCTGGGCGGTAGATTCCTCTGTTTGAAGTACTGAGTGACCTGCTGGGGCAGCTCAGCCAGAACCGACTTGGCAAGGGTCTCCTTCGGCGCCTGAGAGAGAAAAACCAAGAAAAAACAGGAACCAGGTCAGGATTCTGGGCTTTAGTGACACCTAGTGGTGAAATATAGACGTCAAACTAAGAAAAACTTCTCATTATAACGAGATCCAGTTTAAAAATGATTTCATGTCATGTGGCAGCTCTACACTTCTGTACAAACACAATATTATAAAAACGTCTTATTTTAGTTCTCAAAGTACCATCGCTGTGAAATTTAACTTTATTTTACAATTTACAAAAAGTACAAACGATGCACCTGACGAGCAGCTCGTTCTGCACCACAAAACAACAGAAAACTAAAGAAAACCTTTGTTTTTCTGCAGAAACCTCTTTGCTCCTGAAGTCCCAGCTGCTGCTGCGATCTGAAAATATCCACTTCCTGTGGACGACACGTCACCAACTGTGGCTTTCTGCTAATTTTAGGAGTAAAAACCAACGCGTTCTGCGTTCTTCTGAGGCGTTAATCAGGAGAAGTGCTCCTGGAGGCTCCTGACGCAGATGTTTCTGCTTCTTCCCTGATTGTGGAGCAGCAACAAGCTGCCTCCTGCAGTCAGTTCTTCTAACGCTGACATTACCCATGATGCCCTGCTGCTCCCTTTCTATACATGAGCTCGTGGATTTGAGGGGGCTGTTTTCAGGTGGGGGGTGGGGGGGCTGGAGTTGATCCCAGCATGCTTTGAGTGGAACCAGGGTCCACGTGGACAGGTCATCAGACCGTTCCAGGACCACATGGAGCCAGAACCAAACACTCAGGTCTGAGGACACCTGGAGTCTCTAACCAGGCTGGACCTGCAGGGCGGAGGACCTGAACCCCTCCCTCCTGTTTTTCCCTCTTGGAAAGCATCTTTGAATATCCTAAAAAGTGCTTTATAAGTTCGATGTATTATTATTATTATTATTATTATTATTATTA